CGCTTGGGAATAAGAACGACTTGCTGTTACAAAATACAAGTTATTTTCACTATAACCGCATTGCCGTTTTAATAGCTTAAAATAATAAGAAACCGCGTTAGTCGCTCTTACAAAAACGCGATCGCCGGCACTGAAGCGTTGAAAAACGCACGCGTTTTCCTGTTTATACTTTTGAATATTGATTCGATTCGATTCGATTCGATTTGTGAGTCAACTCCAACTTTAACTTCCAGCATGAGTCGGCAAGAACCGGCGCAGACTTGGCTATAATTAAATTCCCAATCAGATGTAGATTCTGCCGCATACCCGTATTTTATTTATAAAACCTATTCGGCGGGCCATAGGAAATGCTGATCACTTTTTATTTATTTATTTATACGGCTCGGCTACTTGTCGCTTTTTGATTTTTACTTTTAGCCCGATCAGCAGACAGCAAGCAGCCAGCAAGGTCGCTGCTTACATGTACAAAAACTTGCAATGCAATTAAGTCTTGATAAATAACCAGTCTGATAATAACGCTCAGGGCCCTGGTGGCGGAATGCTAAAGATGTTATGCTAATGCCATCGATAATCGCGAGACGCTCAGGAAACGGAAGACGACTCCAGAATGCCAACTCAGCTATCCTGCTCGATAATACGCCTTACACCTGATTTGCAATGGTTTCAATGATATTTTAATGATTCCTCTAATGGGTTCTAAGATAACTGATTGTCTAGTCGTGATCCGTCGAAATGCTTTAAACGCCCAGTCAATTAAACTGACCACAAATAAATAATGCATTTCTGCTTGGCCTTGTGTTAGTAAAATTGCTTCAAGCCCTTAACGCTTTAGCTTGCAATAATAATAATAATGCAGTGATATACTCCTCAGCCTGGATAATAATTTTATAAGCCTTAAGCTAGTATTAAGTGTAATAAAATACCCCTTTTTATCCACGAGATATCGAAGTGCATCTGAGATGCTTACACACCTGCAGTTGATTCTTCGCCCGCCCGTGGTTCACATGGCTAATTGTTAAAAAATCTCTCACGGCGAGGTTTTGCAACTTTTAAACTTTAGAAGCGATGGTCGGAAAAAAAAACCATGACGGATACCCACCAGGGAAAATGTCCGTATAACACTCACACGTGATAATTACTTGGCTATGCACATTAAAGATCTCATGCGTTCGTAAGGCGCCCCGCCTTAAGTTTAAATGGCTGAGTTTTTAATAGACCTCAGATTTGGGTGTTTTTCAATACGAGAAGGTGAGCAATATTAGTTGCTAAACTATTGAAATGCATTCCAACTGTTTCGGCGCAACCACAACGAGCCATTTATATGTGGTTCACAACTTATATAAATGTTTCCAATTGAAATGTTTTTAATTTTGTACACTTCCAAGCAATTTATTATAATTTAAGGGTATTTACACTTCCTTTTTGTTTGCTTTTGCCTAGCGTTTTCACTTTCATCGCTTGTTGCTGTTGTTGCTCTCGCCACCTCCTTTTGCGCGGCCCATTTGGCTTTAACTACATAAATCTGCAACTTTTGCGGTTGTGTTAAATACAGTTTTTCGAATGGACTTTTTGTCCAGCGCTTTTGTTTTGCTCCGCTCTTTTTGTTTTGTCCAGCCCTTTTTGAGACGAGACGCACTCGAAGAAACAGGGCCGAAAAACGTGCCGAGAAACCTCAAAAAGCAGAAGCGTCACATACCGAACAGAAACTGAAAACCCACACTGAGAGAAACGTCTTTGCCCTTTATACCTGCTCACCCATAAAGTCGTTGGTTCATACCTACAAAAAACTTGGTTAATTATACATTTGTACAGATTTTGCCATTGCACTGTACTTTTCAATTGGCTTACAATTAAGTCAATAATAAACTACAAAGTATTCGAAACATTAGGCGATAAAAAGCATGCAACTATATTTTTTCTGTTTTAAGGTTTGAACAAAGGCCCACCACTGTTTTCGCTGTTTTCAGTGTACCGAAATCGAAATCGAAAGCGACCGCGATTGAAAACAGCTGTTGCTGCTTTGATTTAGCAAGTGCCGGAATTAATACATGCAACTACATATTTAGGAAGCTGCTAAAAACAGCTGAAGAAACTACAAATTGGTGACTTACTAACCCCGCCAACGAGTTGTTGCTGCTGCTGATGTTGCTGCTTCTGGTTCTTCTTCGCTGGTATTTCTTTGTTTTTTGTTTTTATTTCTTTTAAGGTTTTTCGGTCACTGCAATTGTTTACTGCACACGGCGTTTTTATATTTTCTTTGCGAGTTTTACTCTTCACTTCGAGTGCTGCTTTTCGGCTCTTCCCTCTCGCTCGCACAGTTCGCACAGTTAAAAAAAAAAAGAATGTTGCGGTAGCTTATTTCAGTTTTCGTTACTACTTCGCCTTTGGCTACAGGGTATGTGAGTGAGTGCCGCCTGAAACGTCCACCAACAAAGCTGGCCGCAATTGAACTGAGCTTGACTAAACGCGCTTACGGAAAATTATTTAATTCCGCTCCCAGTTTGCCGCCGCTGCCGCTGCCGCTGCCGCTGCCGACGTCGAAGAAAACAAAACGATCGCCGACGTCGATCGCCAACTTCCAACTTCGTTGTTGTTGCGTGTGGGCGGCAACATGTTGCTCCCGGCCAGCGCACCAGCAACATGTTGCCCCGCTCCAAGCCAAAGAATCTTCTGAAACAAATTATGGAAATGGGAACTTGCATCAGCACAACTTGATGTATGGCGTATATTATTTGGCTTGGAGGTAAACTGAAGTAAAAACATAATTGAATAGCTGATCCCGTGACGTTTGGGCTCAATTAATAATTACCAAGATTAAGCTAAATCTAAATGGGAAACATTCTTAATGGGCGGCTTGTGTACGTAGAAATGCGCTGATTATTGTACCTATAGTTACCATTTAGCTCGACTTGTACTCCGCATATGTCATATGTCATACCTATTGATCTATTTACATAGAAAATGCATGAATTTGTAGGCATTACGAATTAACACACTGTTGGAATTGCAATGAAATTTTCATTAAACGCTTTGCGGAAGTCTTTCAACTTATAAGAGCATCACTATGGCTTTTGAGCCCCCTTAGAAAAGATCCCTATACGCCCATGCTTCTAACTGTTCTTTTGTTCCCAGTTGAGCGTGTGCGTGGACTTAATTAGGCCGGCTTTTCGGAAAGTACTAATTGCAGCCCTGGGCCATCGCAAAACTGTACTTAAATCAAATGAAATGTCAAAACTATATGCGAAACCCTTCCGAAACACTGAATCCCGCGAACTAGAGCCACTTTTGAGAGCCAGTCGGCCGTGTAAAGAGGGCTATAACGCTCGCACTTTGTACCTGGCCCGGACTGCGCTAATGGATCGGAACCCTAGATTGATATAAGCACGAGAATGAGTTGACAAATCTAACGATTCCCGGATGGAGTTATAGATTCTGTTAAGGCCAAAATATATTTTAAGACTCACGTTTGGCCTATAAGCCTAACCTTCAATTCTCCTAACTTATTCTTAATACATTTTTTTTTTGTACTTAATGTGTATTTGATTAAAATGTTTGGGTTTATTCAATTTAATTTGAGAATGAGCTTGTACAAATGGCGATGGCAGTATAATTTACTATACCATAATCAATATAGGGGTATTTCAAATTGGTAAAGGTTCTAAAACTTATTGGTGAGTAAGTCTTGTTGGTATAATGAACTGGTAACGGCTGTATAATTTACTAATCATATCCAATATTGGGGAATTTCAAATTAAAAAAAAAAAAAGCAGCTTAATCACAGAAACCACAGAAAGAAAGTTCCTGGTGGAGATTGTATATAATTGCCAAGTGCCTTCAAATCCAAATTCAAGAGCCCACTCGCTTGAACCACGTCCATGTCTCCGCCCGCCACTGGAATTATGCCAACCAGAACCATTCTCATTCTGAGTTGGTTCTCCATGTCCATGTCCACGGGCCCAGAGCACATTGAAATGTGTCCAAATGTCCAAAAGATTCGCTTGGCTGCATATCAGTTGCGCGTAATGCCCAAAGTCATTATGGCAAAAATCGCAAAAAGACTAAACGTTAAAAATGCTGAAATTAAAACTATATATATGAATTATGAAATTGTTTATCGGAATAAAGCGAAGCGAGGAACAAAAACGGCCAACTAGAGATGGCAATCTGGAAACTAAAGTGGCAAAATGTTAAGCTAGAGTAATTCTATTTCGTAAACAAGCCCGAGACAAAAGAACGCTCAACTATGTACCATCCATAATAGTTCTCTAGATACTATTATTAGATTAGAAACGATTTTATAAAATATTGCACGTGGGCATTGTTCATATTTTGTATAATTTAAAAATCATTTCGGGTTCAATGGTTGAGTTAATGCTTAATCATTCCAAGACCCAAAATCTCAATAATTTGGAAGTTCGAATCATATATTTTGATTTTTCAAACATAACTAGATATCTTCTGCAACTTTCTTCAAAACGCTACGGTCCACTTAACAGGCAAGGATAAGTACATGTAGCTCATATACTCAATATAATATACTTAAGTTTTGCCATGTTCTTGGAAGAACCTCAAAAATGTATTAATTATATATATTTTTTTTAAAACGGTTTATTAATTGAAATAGGTGCAATTTAAAACACACTGTACTCTCCTCGGAATAATTCCGGGTTCAGTGGTGGGGTTCATTCACTGCCGATTTCCATTAAGCCCAAGCCATTATTATAGACTGCTCCGGAATAAGTACACATACGTGGATGCGAAGTGGCTTGAGTCAGCTACTGGCTTCCACGTGCTACCGCAGCACCCGACGTCCACTCCCACTTGAGGCACGCAATTGGAGAAGGGTTAATGGGGGGAATAGGGTTTCAAGTGTCGCTGGCTGACTCCAATCGGTGCCTGGCTGCTTTCCAATCGAGAATCGTGATCTATCCGTAGGCTGTTTAAACATTCTACTTGCAATTCAGTAGCAGGATTCTTGCTTTTTTATAATTTATTCAAGAAAACAAATTTCATTTCTAAAATTGTATATGTATCAGGTGTTTTAGCTCTATAAAATAAACACAAGTACAAAATGTTTGAGCCAGACTATATATGACAATTGAAAAGTATGATAACTAAATTCGTTTGCATATCACAATTAATTTCATGAAAGCAGATTCGTCTGCGATGTCTACCTATGATAAAAACTTCGTTCGCTGCATTGTTGAATTCAGACCAACAAGGATGTTTGGAACATATAATCTATCAGTATAAATTCAAGACAATATTAAGTACTCCTTACTCAGCTAAAGTGGTCTTACTTCTACCTGTAACATACTTCTCGCTCTGCGAGTAAGGTGTATAAATACATTTCACAGATATGTGCATATGGAACACCAATTGAATGATTTATAATATATAGTATTTAGTATTTAGCATTTAGCAAATCGTATAAGTTCCGCTCAATTAGTCGACGGGATGAGCTTAGTGAGCGGCGCCCTTTGGCCTCAGCAAGGTCACGACTGAGCCCAATCAAACGCCGCCGTTTTAGCTGGGCTCGAGAGTCAAGCGACAAAAATAAAAATAAAAATAAAGCTAAGCAGTGACCAGAGGCGCTAACAAGTTTCAGGTGGCTCCAAAAGGTGGATTCTGTCGCTGGATCGGCGTAATCACATTTCGCAGTTGCCAATGGATGGGGCAGGCATGTACTTATAAATCTTTATATGCCTGTTACTATTTGCCGACAAACTGGGCAAGCAACGAGGAGGGGGAGATGAATGCCACTTAAGTGCCATTATAAGACTGCGATTTGCAATATAGACAAGTCATGATTACAGTTATCTTGACAACCGGTTTTGGCTTTTTCTATTTTTTGTATAGATATAACAAAGGCAAGGCGAATGCAACTACTGCTGGAGCATATTGATATACTCAGTCAGGACCTTCTCCTCTTGGATCAGGGGCAAGTCAAGGTACTCCATATCGCTCAGACTGAGATCCGAGTTAAAGCGATCGTAGGCCTTGTAAGTTTCTATCTCGGAGCGAGCATGATTCAGAACAGCTTCCAAGAAGTGCGCTGGCAGAGCAGTTGGAGCCTGACCAGAGGCGTCCGATGTAGAGGGACCATCAAGATTCTGCCCTCCAGTTGCGGCCATACGTTCAACGTGCTCCACAATCGCCTTCAGTTCCTCCTCACTCTCTATGGCGCACATCAGGCTCTCGATGGCCTCTTCCATTTCATTGGATGCGTTCTCTAGGGCCACGCGCGAGTCGTTCTCGCAGAATCCCAGCTGGAGAAGCTGAGCCAGTTTGGTTGGGTCAATGGTGACCGGAGTATTGGGAAAAGCAGCGATTTCCTTTGCTTCTGACTGCAGCAGTTCCACCTAAGAAGATAATATTCACTTTATTATTAGCTTACAAACACATTTTGTTAACCAATAACAATTAGCCGACTTTTGAATATGTTCTAGACCACACTTACCGCAAAGGGTATATCATTGTTAGAGCGCTGTAGGGCGAGAACAGCCAGATCCTTTTCGTATCCCATATCATGGAGGCTGCAGACACTGCGGGGATTCACCCAGGTCCAATCCTTGGAATTGTTGCGCCTCAAGTGGCGCTCCATAGCTTGCTCGGACGCTTTGTACTTGTTGCGTGCGCTCTTGAGCTGCTGACGACGCTCATGAATAAACTGTATAGCGTGCTCGATGTCGTTGCCCTCGTTGCAGGAGCGCAGAGCCATGCGAGCCTCGGAGGGCTCGTAGCCCATGTCGGTCAGGAGAGCCAATTGGTTGGCGTTGATCTTTAGTGCACGTAGCAGGGAGTGGGCCGACTCCAAGCGCTCGAATGCCTCGTCGCGACGATTCTGGTGGAAGAGCACCACGCCCTGGAGCAGCTGAAGGCGCAAAATCAAAGCCCGTTCCGGGCAGTTCCTGCCTCTCAAGGAGAACAGCCTCTCCAAATTGTCACCGTAGCTAATGCGGAATCTGTGGCTGCAGTGGACCAAGCGTCGCTCAGCATCGGGGATTTGGGTCACATTCTTCAGGCAGAGATAGCACCACACTATGTCCAGATTCAGCAAAGCAAAGTTGTCCGCAGACTCTACAAACTTGGAGTCACAGTCGGAAAAGTACTCGTCGGCCTCCAAAAGCAGAAGCAGAGCCTCCTCAAAATTTTCGCGGTGCATGGCCGCACGGGCCTTCTCACAGAATCCCAAACCCATGAGCAGCGCCTTATGCTCGGAAGGCGGCAAAAACACTTGGCTGCCATCCTGATCCTCCATCTAAGCAAGACAAGAAAGTACAAAAATGAAAGGTTATAATTAAAAAAGAAGTGGTGGTTCCTCGCTGGACTTCTCTCATAAGACATACAACTTCATAACTTCATAAACAAACAATTCACTTGATTGATCCCGATTCATTCACCTCTATTAGGCTATTCTTCGAGGACACGATAGCCTGCACATCAGCCTTGATGCGATTGATCCTTTCGTACAGGGCTTCGCCAGTATTATCTCCATCGCCCACGATAACATTCAACTGCTGATTGTTCTCCAGCTGTTGGTCGGCCAATGTGGCATGGGCAGACACAATTTTTCCGGCAGCGATGCACTTGACGTGCTCAGCATTCGGCAACTCGAGTTTCTTGGCTATGTCTGCCTGGAGTTCGGAGCCCAGGATGTCCAGGTTGCACTTAATGTCCACCATAGTGGCACCGGTGTGCTTGTCAATGCGGCGTACCTTGAACGTGGCTATTCTCCTGAGCGCATTCTCCTGATGCTCGGTCCAAATGAAGGTGCAGCGACTCATATCGATTCCCACAATGCTGCAGTACTTCTGGGACAGGATCTTTAAGGAAATGGATACCCGTAGGACGAATTATTCGATGTTTTAAAGTATTACTTTTGTAGTCGAACAAAGTAAAGCCACTGACTTCCGAAGTTCAACTGAGATTTGATTGAGTGCTATACTTTTGACAGCTAATGCCCTAAATCCCTATTTATAGAGAAATGAATGATACATCAAGAAAGCAATTGCATTTTCACATGTAATGTGCAACTAACAATTCGAAGTCTTTTGCAGTGTGCAATGTTCAGCACACGATATATTCAATAAGGGAATTTTATTCTCTTTACGATGATGGGAAAATTTGTTCAACAAAAATTTTCAACAACAAAAATACGAGTTATTTAAGAAGAAAATGACCACTATTAATTCTCAAAAGAAGAACAAGGCATTGGAATCACTATATAGTTATAATCTGCCAATTATAACACTGCAGAATGCAAAAAAAATTAAAATTAATGCAGATCAGTCAAAGCTTAGCAACGATGGCACATGGCAAGCGTATTTGCACCGAAATCAGGGTATTGATAGATTATTATAAATATAGAAAGACAATTGCTGAAATAGCAAACAATTGAGTTTGTCTAAATCGTCGGCACAATTGTTCAAGAAAACTGGGGACATTTAAAATAATATTGCAAATAGAGGCAAATTATAAAGGCTGATCGTCGCCAATCATTTTGGCTTCAGAGTGGTCGCAGAAACTTGGCAAAAATTGGACGCGACTGCAGTTAAGAAATATTGGATATGGTTTCTATAAAGTATGTTCTGTTATTATTTATGTACTATAGCATACCCAATAATTTATCTGACTCGTAGGCGTACGCCTCGTCAAAAAAAGTGTTTGGCAATGGGACACAATCAAATTGATGAAGCTAAATTTGATGATAGTGATATAGATAGATGATTTGATAGGACAGAAACATACCATAAGGACTGCCTTAAAAGGACAATAAGGTTTCCTGCAAGCACTATGATATGGGGATGTATGTCTGCCAAAGGATTAGGAAACTGAATTTTATAGAAGGGACAGTTGATGCTGAGAAATATATTAATATTGTTGAAGAAAGTTTGCTGCCATCACTACCAGAACTGGCAGATTGTGGCGAATTCACTTTTCAGCAGGACGGAGCATCATCGCACGCAGCCAAAACAACCAAAAATTGGCTGCAATATAAGCAAATGGAGGTTTTAGACTGGTCATCACTTAGTCCGGATCTAATTATTTGGTGGCTAATGAAAAGAGCGCTTCGCTATGAGCCACAAAGAAAAATTTCTGACCTCAAAATTAGTTGCAAGAGATGTGGCACTCGATTTCTCGAGAACATTGCCAAAATGTGTTAAAATCAATGCCAAAACGTGGTAAATGCGTAATACAGGCCCGAGGCAAAGACTCTAGAATAATAATAATAACTAGAATAATAATAATAATAATAATTCTAGTGTCTTTGCCCGAGGCGACGCTCACAATTGTAATATTAATTAATTTGTTATATTACGCAGCGCTCGAATTAATAGTGGTCACTTTTTCTTATCTTTAAGTCTACCTTTTGAATAAATTACTCATATTTTTGAGACGGACGGACAGGCGGACGGACGGACATGGTAGACTCGGCCATTGATCCGGATCATGAATATATATACGCCTTCTACCGGTTACACCCTTTTCAAGGAATCTAGCATAAAAAAGCGTACCTAAAATGCGGCACAAGACATTTTAAAAGAAGCTTCAGCTTACCGAAACCAGCCTCCTTGCTTGTTAAAATGCGCTTAATTATATGGTTGAAAAGATGGAGAACAAATTGGATCTTTAGAAGCTTGATCCTTGGGAATCCTGCTAAAAATGTATCCTCAAATGTTTTATCTTCGCAATGAAAAGTTGTAACACTATGACACTTGTTCTAATTTTTTAGTGCAAATCATTCTAAAATAGAGGCACATTTTCTTCGATTTTTATCGGACAACTTTGTGTGACACATGCATTCCGAATATAATATTCGGGATGCCAAGCATATTGTTATCGGAATCCAGTCCAGGTGGTGGACATACGTACCTCCAGGGCGCCAGTAGTAGGGCTCCTGCCACAGCTTCCCGCCATCGGACAGGAGGAGAGCCCGGTCCTGGATGATTATGTTGTCGGGTTGCGACATTTCCGACTTTGACTTTGACGATGACCATGACGATGAAGATGACGGTGACGGCGCCAAAAGTGTGGCGAAAGGCGTTGGTGAGCACACGTCACAAGGAAAACGGGCAAGTTCCTAATATTTACTATTTAAAGTGATGCGATGTTGTGGTTCTTCTTCTTACACCGCGAACATGTGTTTTTCGGCGCGCAAGCAGAAAGAAAGATGCGCAGCCGGCGATTATTGCGAAGTGGTGTGGTGTGTAGTTGGATTATGTTTTGGGCGAGTGCCAAATAAGAGTTGGTTACGAGAATTGGGTTATTTCATGTGAATTGAAACGACCTGCGTCTGGTGAAATACTCGGAATTACGACTTTATTGTCGCTAACAAGAACTGAACTGGCCACTCGATAGCTATCGGCTCTCGCAGCACTTAGACAACTGTCACCTTGAAGGGCCCTCTCAAAAGCTAAGAGCTCTGCCGAAGCCTACTCATCAATTAAAATAGCACAGTATTTCTTTTTAAAGCGCATTTAGCAAGAGCAGATGTGTTTAGTGATTTAGTTTGTTTTGTTTATCTACTTTGCAGTGCAAGAATCTCATAAAGCAGTAAAGCAGTTCTCCCGCCAGTGCGGCATAGCGCAATCAGCTGTCTGCACAACCATAACCTATCGATAGTCAACTGCCAGCTTTTTAGCGGCGTTGTTTTGAATTTAAATTCAAAATATTTAGGTGGAAATACAACATTCCGCCTCCACACGAATTCATTGCAAACTGGCTAAGCATTAAATTGAATCAAGTTAAATATTAAAAAGCACAAGCTGCCGCCGCTACAGCGAACAAATACCTGCAGCCAATAAGCTCTTTCATTGAATACGATTTCCCAGGACTCACTTGTCATATATTGCGTCTTTTTTGGAGCACACTACGCCTTTCGTCCCGCAGACATACAGAGAATACAGCTGACGCCGCGGAGAAGCAACCCCCGTCGATCGACCTGACCTCCTCCACCCTTATTTCGCTCGTTCTCCAGGCGGCAGCACCTGTCCCATTTCGCCGGCGGTGGTGGTTTCCCACCTGGAAAACGCTCAGTTGCTGAAACGCGGCGCATGTACACGTTGGTCAGGAGGTCTGTACGAACATACGCACGCCAACTGCGAGTCGCGATTCCACCCGATCCTCCAGTCCCTGCCGGCATGAAGATCCGCCAGCTGCCGGCGAGCACGACAACGCTCTCGTTCCGGGCGAAACAGCGCGATGTGGGCGGCATTGGAATGCCCTGCGAGCGGGAGCGGAAGCACGAGGCCGCCAAGCGGGAGCGGGAGGAGCAGCTGAAGCGGGAGCGGGCCACGGCGGCTGCGGCAGCGGCGGCACAGCGGGTGCGCCAGCATAATCGCAGGATCAGCGCCGAGCGCGATCCCGGCAAGCGGAGGATGCCGCAGTCCAAGGAGCGACTCCAGGCAGCCGGCCTGGGCAGACCCGTGTTGGGCTGCACACCGAATGTGCCTGGAGGTGGGCCTCTAGTAGTTGAAACTAGTAAGCTATCGTTGATAATCACATTCTCTTTGCAGTCTCGAGGGGATCAGCATTGGCGCTGGGAGTCGGACCACCCGGACCCGCCACCCGCACAGGAAGAGCATCCAAAATGCTCGTACCTTCGCCTCAGAATCGGATTGAGGAGCAGGATGACTCCGATGCCAGGGCCGAGCGGCTGAAGGAACAGCTCGAGGAACTGGCCGCCATGTCTGAGCAGGAGTTCGAGGTGAAGTTCCGCCAGTGGCTGGACCAGGAGGGGATTGCCCGGGAGATGCACTCGCACCTGCGGGTGGAGCTCATCCACTGCTTCAATAACACGGCACTCGGTGGGTTACATCACATCTTTCAGCAAGTTTCCTTAATTTTCATTTGCGAACTCCACCTAACCATGCATCCATTTTTCCACCAGGCCAGCTCTTGAGCAAGGCTGCTGGCGTGCAGATGGCCCACTCCCACGCCCTGCTCCTTTCGCCACTGGCAATGGTGCTGCACACGCTGGTGGCGGAGTTCCTGCACTCCCAGAACTGCCACTTCACACTGTCGGTCTTCTGCAGCGAGACCCCGCATCGCAGCCAGCTGCCCGACTTCAGGAGTCGGCCGGAGTTTCGATTCCAGCCGGAGGAGCTGCGTACTGTCGTGGCCGCCATCCTGGGAGAGGAGGGTGCGTTAGCGGATCCGGAATTTGGACAGTTGGCGGAGGCCCACTACGAGGAGGATCTGGCTGGGCAGACGCAGTGCTTGCTGATGGCTGTAATGCGAACGCTGGTGGAGATCAGGAGGACTGTGCCCGCGCAGGAGGTGGAACATCCGGTCCCTGTGCCTCTGCACGACACTGCCTGTCAAACGGAGCCCTCCGCCTGCGTGGAAGCTCGTCCCGAGGTGGACACCACTTGTCTGTATCAGGCGGAGGAGCACGAGCTGATTCTGGGCGCCGATGGCCGGAGTGTCTTTGTGGGCGGTCGTGTCTCGCAATCTCTGCATTCCGTGGAGCGGCAGCTGAGTCAGTTGATGAAGAATCTCCGCCACTTGGCCAAGTCCTGTGCCCCGCCCGTCGAGGTGATATCCTCGTCTAAATTCGAGGATCTGCTGAAGAAGGAGCTGCGCGAAAGGGAGCGACTCCTGAAAGCTGGCCAAGCCTTCAATCCCGCCGACGCGGTCATCAAAATAGCCACCGGGGACAAGGGAGAGAAGCCGGTGGTCACCAGTGGCCGGAATAAGAACAATGTGGTTTACTCCGACGTGGGACCCATTCAAGTGCCAGCCCTGGATGTGGCCATTCCTCAGCTGCCCCGTCTGCACAGCGAACAACTGGCCAGTCTGGCCATGATCCGCCAGGCCCTCGAAAAGGTCCAGAAAAAGACGCGTCAGCCGCAGGGCCGCATGTACGTGTCCATGGAGCGAATGGAGACCCTGATGGGGGATGTGTGCGGCTGTGTGCAGCTGCTCGGCAACGTGCTCAATCTCTCCATGGAGCAAGAGCACTCTGTGGGCATGCACAAGGGCTTCAAGTTGGGCTACCGCGAGGGCTTTGCCCACGGTCACTTCATGGGCGTGCAGGAGGGTCAGAAGCTGGAGCAGAAGAAGCGGCGAATGGAAAGGCCGCCGCCCGAGAAGCGGGAAACCTCCGTCCAAACGGAGAGCATGACACCCACCGCAAGCAGGGCAACCCAAACATCGAGGAAGCTGGCTCACAGGGAATCTGTCATCACCCAAACGGAGCAGAAGCAATGGAAGGATGCGGGGAATCAGGCTACGCTCGACCGGAAACCCTCACAGAAGTCCTACGAGCAGTGGATCCACGAGATGCTGCACAGCTCCAGCGGTCAGGTGTTCCTCGAACGGGTGGAGCTCTCCCTCAACAAGGCACTGGAGCTGCAAAAGGAGCGGCTCAACGAACTCTACCAGGTGAAGTTGCGACACCAGGCGGAGATGGTGCGTCTAAGCACGCGGCAAAATTCCTGGCGGGTAAGTCTCTCGGGGATTTCCAATTCCAATTAGCTAAAACCATATATTCTATATTCCAGGTACTTTGCAAGCGTGTGGAGCGGGACTCGCAATCGTCGTCGGAGGCACGCGACCTGGTGCAGAAGATCTTCCGACTGCTGGAGCACTACGAGTCTCACCACCACCAGCTGGCGGAGAAGATCCAGCAGACGGAGTTGGCAGCGGACCAGGCGGCTCGCATTATGCCCATGTGGGCGGACGAAGGTGGCGGGGGCTCCGCACCTGGCAACTGGAACGCGGTGATACTCAACACGCCCATTTCCAATGGGGTCTGCACTCCGAGTCCGGCTCAGCCTGCCACGGATGTAGGTAAGCCCCATGTGGAGCAGCACACATATCCCGGCCTGGCATTGTTGGCACTGGCTCCGCCAGGTGGAGTTCCAGTTGCAGGCGCCTTCGTGCCCGTTACTCCCCGACTTTCTGCTCACCTCCTAGCAGATGCTGAGCCCCCTGCTCCTCTGGTCCCAGTTGTGCGGCTCTGCAGTGATCCTGCGAAGAAGGCGAAACGACCTGTTCCTCCGAGTAGCGTTCCAGCAGCAACCGACAGTGTTCATCCTACAGCCAGCGAGACCAATGCTTCCGCATTCCGAAGTGGCGCCGTATCTGGAGATCTGCGTCCAGCTGACAGTAGAATCCAGTGAGTTTTTAATCTCCAAATCCCTGTGCTTGGTCATATCTATGGTCTGCTTTCAGAGATCCTGCTACTCCAAGACAGCCGTTTTCTGCTCCTTTATCTGTGCCTGCTCCTCAAGATCCTTCACCACCTGAGCCCAGTGTGCTGCCCTCCACTGCAGCACAGCAACCTGCGTCATCTGATGAAGCGGTTCCTCCACCAGGACCTTCCCAGTCTTCTATTCCTCGGAAGCCGTCTATGCACTCGGTGGCCACCAACACCACAACTCCACTGCCTCCAAAAGTGGCTCCTCTCAAGCCGTTAAATAGAAAATTCCCAGAAGGACCGAGCTTCGAGGAGGCTCTGCTAAGTGCCAAGTGAGTTATATTAGTAATAGTTATCCCTTGAATTATATGTACATAAAATCACTTATATGACTTCCGCCAGGAGCCGCATGCTGCAGCTGGAACAGGAGAGCGATCTGCTGGAACAGAGTTTCCTCAGCTACATGGAGAAGACCAACTCGAAGACAGCCGCCCATAGGTCCACGGAGGATGCCTCCAAGACCCGGAGGATCCGCTCCAGGTGCCTGCGGGAACGAGAGCAGATGCATCGCACTATGGACGGTTTCCGGGATTGGCATCGACGTGTTCGCAAGGAGGACGCAGCCAGTGTGGATCAACTGGAGCAGCTGCAGAGCCAGCGAGTTCTACCCGGCGCCATCTTGGACTCCAAGGCGTCCTCGCCGCTGTGGCTATCGGAACTGGACGAGGGACACGAACAGGACAGCTATCCCTTTACGAATGCCATCACCGAAGCCAGGAACAAAGTGCTGGACAAGATAATGCCAGTCGGCAGGGCGGAGGAGCAGAAGGAGAAGCGTGCCGTTCAGAAGAATTGGCTAGCCAATCTAGCCGATCTGCCATTGCAGACTCCTGAAGCTGAGAATCCGATCAAGCCGCCGAAGCTGGATCGCCTACAAGTCAGTATGGCGCCCGATGGCGGTGAGATGAACTTGCTCCTCCAACGGGCCAAAGACGCCCTCGGCCTGAGAGCACCAAATCCGCTGCTGGACAGCAGCAGCAGCAGCAGTTCCAGCATGGAGCTGCCCTCCTTGACGGCCGGCAGAGCGCCCAGTACCAAGTTCCAACAGTCCATGGCCAGGATGCAGTTGCTCTTTGGCGGCGCAGAGGCAATGCGACCAGCCGCGGCTTCAGTCGCGCTCGAAATATCAGGAAGACCTGTAAGCGCACCCACCGCAGCATCGGGATCGGGATTGGGATTGGGTGAGCACTTGGTGCTGCCGAAACGCCCCCACACGGCGCCCACTCTGCACACAATCAGCGAAACGGAACCAGGCGCTCATCCTTTGGATTCCTACACATCCAGCTCCTCGCAAAGCACTTTGCCCGGAAGATCGCCGGGCGAAGCTTTCCAGGATTTGGTCACGAGCGCCGTGGCAGATGGAGGCCGGCGGCGAACGCGGGAGTCTGGTGCGGAGGTTTCCTACAGCCAGGCGTTCTGGAAACGCATAAACCTGTAAAGCAATCCGGCAGAGAACCTCCAAGACTCCAAGATTTATGTTTGTGGTTGTGCATCCCATGTTCAACATTAAATTGTATCATTAGAACCAATGTCAATAGTTTAAGCCTTTTTTTTATCATAACGACAGCAATCAACATTAAATTATATCGTTAAAATGGTTCTCCATAGAGAATATCTTCACAATTATAAGATATTAATAAAACTCGTGGTGTTTTTGGCCAAAATTGTGCGCATTTATTCATTTTTGAAGACCTATTTCGAATTTTACTACTCTTTTCACTTGTGTATATTTTTGATAGAATTTTTGATGCCTAATTGTGCGCTCAGTGTATCAATTTTTAAGACCTGCTGGGACCATCTATATATTGTATATCTTTAAATAGTTTATTTTTGCAATAGACATATATTCATACTTTTGTCACCTTACGTCCGAAAAAAAAATGCTAGCTCTTCGTTTCTTTGGCATTATTGATACCGAGTTTGTGGGTACGAGTATCTTAGACGGCGGTGCCATTGATGAGGTCGTAGGGATCCCTCACCTGGCCCATGCCAAACAGACTGGCATGGGATCGTCGTCGCTCCCGCTCGATCTCGTCCAGGTCGAAGGCATCGCTCACGAAACTGGACCTACGCTGTGGATCGTCGAATGCGTAGCCGCGCTGGAATTTCGGTGGTCCGGAGACGGGGGCCGAGGGCCCAGGTGCTCCACTTACTGACGTGGCAGCTGGGTAAATGGGCTGCGGATGCTGCTGATAGCCAATCGAGTAGTTCGACGGCGACGAGGGAATCGCCGTGGGCCACTGCACCTGACTCTTGGGCGCCACCACCTGGGGCAGCGTCAAGGTGGAGGACACGAAGCGGCTCTGCGGCTGATTCAGCATCAGCTGGGAGAACCTCTGCTGGCTGGAGCCCAGTGGGTAGCCTTGGGAGGCCAGCGAGTCGGAGGACTGCCGCAGGAAGCAGCGCGGCAAGGTGCGACTCTGGCCGAGATCAGCTGGCTGTGGCAGGGACATCCGCATGCCCGGATAGCCACTCGTTCCCGGGAAACTGAGATCCGTGTGCAGGGACAGGTTCGAGTTGAGTCTGCGCAGCGGCTGTCCCATGGAGTCCACGCACATGGACGTGCGACGCGGCACCACCAATTGGGCATGGTCTGGAATACAAATAATGTTTTACCAATCATAGGTTTTCCTATTATTCTAAGAAACAGAAGTTTTGAATGTAATTGACAACTTATTAGATTGAAATCCGTTGGATCTCCTGGAACCTCACCTCCCACTACATAGAGATGATCCTCCTCCATGCGGTTGAACTGCCTGAAACCGTGATCATCGCCATCCGCATCGTCGTCGTCGTCGCGATGCGGAACGTCCGGTGCTTCCTCCCGCTTAGCCTGATCCTCCTGCTCCTCCTGCTCCTCCGCCTCATCCCCGCCACTGATGTAGTAGATGTTCTTTGGCTTGCTGCGCATTCCAGCTCGTCGACAGAACTCCTCGAAGAGCTCGTCCTTGGTCTTCCGGAGGCCCCGCTTCAGGCCACACAGGCGCGACTGATCCTCGAACTGCGAGTGGGAGGATGGGGGATGGTTTGAGATCTTCGTGTTCGTATTGGTGGCCATGTTCCGCTGCTGCTTTCGTTTCATTTGGGCGGAGGGCGGCGCTGGAGCAGGATATATTTCCGTGGCGGTAGAGACGGATCGGGTGAGCGGAAATTCCTGCGGCAAGTCGGCGAAGAGGGCAGGTGCGGGTAGTGGGTCGGCAGCGGAGGGGGCAGGTGGAGCTGGCTGTGGGGCAGGAACGTGGGCGGAGGACACTGACGTATCCGTGCAAAGCTCATTCAGCGACTTAGCGAAGCTGCGCGAGTGCAGATTGCACTTGGACACAGCTGGCTTTTCAAAGTAAAACCTAAAAAAGATTCAATACTTCATTAATAGCTTTAAACAAAATACATATATTTGTTATATTTTGAAACTGAATTGGAGAGACCTCGTTGCAGCGTAAATTGAATGCTTTGGCATGCAGAAAGAAGGGGTCATTTCTAAAGACGGACGGATATACGGACATACGGACGGACATACGGACGGACATACGGACTTACGGACATACGGACGGACATACGGACAGATCGGCTAGATCGGCTGAACACGGCTCCTTTTACCTTTAACGTGCAACTTGCGATTTAGAGGTATAATCAATATGGCCTAAGTAATACATATGAAGAATTCATAGTCGAACTATATTTAAATATTTGGATCTGTGCACTTTAGCTGCGTAACAGGTATCTGGTAGTCGAAGCATTCGGCTATCGAGTTCTGTTATTTGACCCATTTGTCATTATGACCCAACAGCAACCGTCTAAGATAATATTTGGTAAAACACCAATACGGACGGACATACGGACGGACATACGGACAGACATACGGACATACGGAAAGACGAACAAACATCGCTAGATCGGCTGAACACGGCTCCTTTTACCTTTAACGTGCAACTTGCGATTTAGAGGTATAATCAATATGGCCTAAGTAATACATATGAAGAATTCATAGTCGAACTATATTTAAATATTTGGATCTGTGCACTTTAGCTGCGTAACAGGTATCTGGTAGTCGAAGCATTCGGCTATCGAGTAACAGCAACCGTCTAAGATAAAATTTGGAAAGACACCAATTGCTCACCGCCTCTCCAGGTCATTGTGCAGATAGAGATTCAAATTCGATCCGGCATTCGGATGCTTGCGACATGCTCCTGGAAGGGTTTGGGTCTGTCCGGGATGGCCAATCTGGCCGGGCATTGCAGTGTGTCCTCGTCCCGCATCGTGGACCTGGTGGAGTCGCGAGTTTCCACTCCTCAGGATGCCATGCGATGGCTGCGCCGCCGGCTGCGGTTGGTGCGGCGCATGGTGAACCAGGCCCTGGTGACCCTGACCCGCACTATTAAGTCCTTCCTGGCTGGCTGTGGTGGTGCCGGGCTGCTTGTACCGCTTGTAGGAATCGCTCAACGGATGCTGGCCCTCCTTGAACTTGGCGTGGATGTTCGCCACGCTGAAACAGGGCAGGCGCTGCAGGGAAATGTACATACATATGAAAACTAGAGCACGTGAAGCACACAGGGAGCGCAGGAGAAGATGCTGCTAGTCCCGGAGGACTCATCCGGCGTCGCTTGCATTTAAGCTGAAAGGTTTCTGCAGTCAAGCGCGAGAATTACGGATCACAAGGTGGGCTATCCCAGAGGGGCCGAAAATATGATTGTCTCGGATGCAACTTTAAAATGAAGCCCTTTAGAAATTGCTACACTATGGTTTTTAGTAACAAAAGCAAAAATCCAAAATGAAATTCAATATACATAATATAAGAGTGCATCTTTAGCAACCTGCTGGTCAGTGCATCTTGAAGCTCGGCTCGATTACTCACGCTGTAGTAGCTGACCTCCTGCAAATTGATGAAGAGGAATATGTTCAAGACCCCGACGAATTCCGTGACAATGAATCCAAAGACGAAGAGGAAGAAGCTCTGGCCATAGGAGACCTTGATGAGGGCAGGTTGAAGGGTGGACCGGGGTCGCAGCTTCGAGCCGATTTCCGCCTTCAGTATTGATATATAGGCAATCAATCCAATCAGCATCACTAGGCCTGCAGGAGATAAATACGTCATTTTGGATGCATTTTTCGCTTTAGACCCTTCGTTTCTAGCCAACTCACCGCTAACAATGAAGAGAATTCCCGCACTGAAGTAATACAGATTGTTTTGGTGCGAGCACGTGGGGATAAGGAAAACTATGAAGCTGATCACCAGAAATACACCAGCGGCCAGGAAAATGGGACACGACTTGGTGACCGTATCTGTAAAAATAAAGTTGATGGGCTTAAAGTGTACCTGGAATAACCGCGTGTAATCTTTACAAATTTACAAATTTACTTTTAAAATTGCATTCAGTGTACTTTCTCTATTTTCGACAGTGTTTTTGTACAGTTTTAAATATCTGCCCCATGTTTTTCGTTCTTCTATCACAAGAAACTCGAGCCTGGCCCATATTTCTGACTCTTAAACGTTGCTTTCCTTTTTGTTTTCCCTTTGACCTGTCAGCGAGTGAGAAAATATCCTGCGGCTACGCAAAAACACGAAGGAACGGAGACAGGACCTGTGAAAAAAGCCGCACTCACAGCGACGCACAATTTTAGCCGACTGTTTAATAGTTTTATTTTCGAAATTGTCACCCGAGGCCAGTTTAAAATTAGTTTGGACCGCTGGAACAAAACAAAATTAATGGCAATATTTCAAATCGATGGCCAATTGTGTGAGAATTAATGGAATTTCAACCGGCTGTGGATATTGGTATTTTCGGCAGCTTAATGTGTTATTGGGCTAGTTCATATCGCCTGCCATGTAATGTGGGTGAAAATCTTATAATGGATGTTGAAAATGTTCAGCCATTGTCATGGCCTGACTCCAATTACACACTACTTCCTGTTCCTGGTAAGACCACAAATCACTGGGACAAAAGTTTGCCGATGGAGGCCAAAGGCCTTTAATTAAAATTCATCCATCTAAAGTTGTATAAAGTTGTATTAAGTGCATGTGCGTTGGTGTGGGCCAACTAACAATAATATTTCAATTCAATTTGGCGCCGTCATTCCAGGAGGCAGTGAGTGGGGGAAATGAGGAAGGCATTCACCATTCACCATTCACCTAGTTAAATGCCAAATGCCAGTTAAGCCCATTAGGTTTTAGTTGGGTATTTAAACGCGTCAGTAAAGATGGATTCATCAAGTCAACAGCCAATTATTGCAATCGCACACGTACATATGTATGAACTACCGGCATAAATAAGCTGAGAAATCAAAAACCAGAGCCTTGTTATTGCCATTCTCCCAATTATCGGGATTCACTAATCAAAAGCTAAATCCAACGTAACATGACACGGTGTGCAACAATTTGATATCCCAAGAACAAACCCTTAGATGCTCCTGTGTAGTAATTGTGTTGGCTCTTAAAGGAAGCCATTTCTTAAATTCAACAAGAGAGCACGCTGCACTCGAGTGCCGCGACGATTGGATACCCCTTAGTCAGCTTATCAAGCAGCCAATGTTAGACCCAACTCCTTAAACAGACAAACGGATGAACGGACGGACGGACGGACGGACGAACGGACAGACGGACGGACAGACGGACATATGTAGCTAGATCGACTTGGTTAGTGATCTTGATCAAGAATGTGTCCTTTATAAGGTCTGAAACGCATTCTTCTTCATTCTTATGTTACATACTTTTTGTCGAATCTAGATAAGCCCTTTACTCTACAACAACTCTACAACACTATATAGTTCTTAGATGGCTGGTGATAAAACCTGTATTCTACAAGTCACGGGTATACAAACACTATATGATTCTTAGATGGCTGGTGATAAAACCTGTATTCTACAAGTCACGGGTATACAAACACTATATGATTCTTAGATGGCTGGTGATAAAACCTGTATTCTACAAACACTATATGATTCTTAGATGGCGCTACTTTGGTACTTACAGGGTATTGCCGCAGTCGAGTCGTGCGGATCCGGCTGATAGCCTTCATTGGAAAAGTAGTCAATCTTAACGCAGTTGTACGAGTCAGCATCCAGGCCTAAAAGCAAACAACAATGTACATACATCATATTACTATAAAATCTTCCAGAGGTGTGCTTTCAATGGGCTTTTTCAACACATTCATCGGCAAAAAAATCTGCTTGCAAGGAGATGTATTCTTGTTAACTGTAAAGTTCAACTTGCCAGTGTTGTTATCTTAGCCATTTTTCTAGGCATTCTTCTGAGCCATTCTTCTTAGTCTGGAAAAGTACTTAACTTTTGTTGGGATCTCTGGCTTTGTTAGCTTATATGCTTACAATATTTTTAAGCAAATTAAAAAATAATTGTATCGTCACTAAAAGCAAAGATTATAAATACAACTTCAACTACAAAGTAAAGTTCAATTGTTGTATATGAAAAGGAATATAATTATATGCGATAACGATAAAATGATGGTGATTATATCGAAAGCGCATTAGTATTGACCACGCTATAATATTTGCCTAAATAAAGAGAAATTGCATTAAAGTTTGTGGTATATTTTGTATGCCGATTTCTGTTCTTTGTCAAAGAATTGGTGTCCTATTTACATTACCCTTTCAACCTTTTCTGCCCTTTCTTTTAGCCAGTAGGTGACAACCATTGGACGGCGCCTTTCATTTCGTATACCAAATCGGATTTGTATTAGCTATTTGTAACACCTAGCACTCGTTGGTAAACAATTCCAAACCCAAATGAATACAACAGATACAGTAGCCACAAAAAGAACAAAAAACACCACATTGCCGAGCATTGGCCAAGTCAGGATGCTGGTGGCCAATAAGCTGCCCAAAACAAAGAACCAGGAGGAGTCCCTCCAGGATAAGAAGCCCACAGTGATGGCCAAGCCGAATGCGAAGGGCAAGGTCAAGGAGAAGGCAAAGGGCAAGGTCAAGGGCAAGGGCAAGGGCATGGCCAAGGCCAAGGCCACGGGCAAGGCCAAGGGCAACGGCAAGGACAAGGACAAGGACAAGTACATAATAAGGGACTCCGACGCGAGCACCCCGTTGGCACTGGAGCGGGGCAGCGGGGACGGACCGCATCAGGTGGCCCAGCCGAGCCTGGTGGCGCTCCACTTCATGAACATCTCGCTGCGACACTCGGATGTCCAGCTGCTCCAGTCCGCTCACGAGGGCGTCAACGAGCGGCTGATGGCTTTCTACTACGCCTACCTCCAGCACCGCCGGTACCGCTCCGAGCCGGATCTGTACTTCCTGAATCCGGCCCTGGCGGCCCGAGTGCGCCACATGGACCTGCGCCAGTTGTGGGCCATGGTGCGCGACCGCCGCCTCACCGAGAAGCAGTTCGTCCTGGTGCCGCTTTGCAACCATCCAAGGTCGGTCACTAATCCCAGGTTTATCTTATAGTTCCAAGTTCTTGACATACGGACATACGGACATGCGGACATACGGACATACGGACATGCGGACATGCGGACATGCGGACATGCGGACATGCGGACATGCGGACATGTGGACATACGGACATGCGGACGGACAGATAGAGTGATCTGGGTTGGTCAGATCAACTCTGCTAGTGACCCTAGGATTCCTCCTGCCTGTTACATACTTTAAAGGGAATGCAGAGAAGGGCATCCACTCCTAACTCGTATAAAAAATTCCCCCGATAAAACCTGAATCGGAATATTAGTTTCGACTATATCTTAGCCTGCACGCACTGCAGCGTTTATATAATACAAAATATCGAATGGCATTAACAACAACGTTAATTGACTCCCTAGATCCAACGGACACTGGTCCCTACTGTTGATTTCGCGGCCGGACAGCAAGTTCTACCACTACGACTCGTTGGACAACTGCCATTCGCCGCTGGCCGTCTCGGTGTCGGAAACTCTACGAGCGCCCCTCGCGGCCTGGAAGTTCGCCCTGGTCACGGGTCGCTGCCTCCAGCAGCAGCGCCAGCCTGCTGGCAAGGAAGGCTCCAGCCGCGACCCCGCTTCCGGAATCCACCTCATGTGCATGACGGATCACGTGGCGGACTATGTGACCAGATGCGGATACGCCACCAGTTCGCTGCTCATCGCCGTGGACCAAATCGCTGCGATGCGCACCCACCTGCTCGAGCTGATCCTGTCGCTCGGCGGGAACCTCCCCTCGAAGAGGGGCCACTAAAACAGGATGCCCCCGTTCGTTTGCTTTCCGTTTGTTGACGCATAAAAATGAGAAAAAAATTCAAAAAGAAAATAAACCCCTGCAAACAAACATTCTGCAGTTGCAGTGCTTTTTTGTTATTCCAAACAGTGCAGCTAAATTAGTTTGGTTCTTGTCACCTAAGTCACCTGTAAATTGTTCAAATAGCGCAAACTAAAAGGTGCTAAAGTCATTGTATTGCACTGCTGCACTTGTGTCAAAAATGTAATTTTTTTCCAATTGGATGCTTTCAATTCGAAATAACAAGTATTATTTGGTAACTGCGTGAGGAAATATACAGTATAAATTGATTTGTGTTGTGAACATTAAATTGAGCTTGCAGGCCAATTAAATAAATGGTCTTGGTGTTGTCATTAATTAAGCATATTTTCAAAGGTAGTGATTATTTTCCAGTTGTATATCATTGCAGCCAAACAATCCAAAAAAGGCTCTGATCAGATTAATCTTCACGGAAAAATACAATAATAAAAAGGACAGCTGCCAGTGTGGGCCTTAATTAAGTGACTGACTGATTGATTGGTGGACCACCCGGCTGACTGCAGTTTAATTTGGCCAAATACAAAGCCCCCAGGCTGCCGCTGCCCGCAGTTATGGAAGCCGTATAAGCCCAAAGGTCATTGTTCCTCGCTTGGGGCGGCACAAGCAGCAGCACCTGGTCAGCACAAAAAAAGAAAACCCGAGCCAAGGAAAACTCAGCCCCATGCATGTCATATTCGTCTTCATTTGCGGGTGGTGCAGGAGCTGTCGAGCAATGTGGTGCTGCAGAGCAACTCACCGGGCAGAGTGGTGCACAAAATCCAGAGACTGGACTTGGTGTACTTGGTGATGTAGGCGCCGTCGTCCAGGGCCTTGAAGTTGGCCGTCCCATTGTAGTTGGCATTGGGCAGCTTCTCCTCCGTGAAGAGCCACTGGGGTCCGGCCAGAGCGGCGATGACAATGGCCACCGAAATGCTGCAAGAAAACGAGCGGAGTGGCAATCAAACACTGGCCGAAACGGGGTTCAATAAATATACTCAGATAAATGAGGAACTGGGAAAATGTTCATTATGTTCAAAGGGTAAGTTTGTACGATTAGAACTGAAACAATCAGTTTCCTTTTCACATTTATTGCCACAGTTTTCTGCAGTGCATTTGAGGAGTAGAAAAAGTTGCATTCTGTAAATCAAAATCGATGTGGGCGGTGGTTGGGTGGACAGAGGGCACTTCAAGGGAAATGCCTATCCCAGGATCTCTGGGCTCTCCAAAAATTGTGTGATGCTGCTGATTAAAAAATACTTCAACCTGTTTTGTGGTCGGGGCTGCCAAAAACGAGGCCAAAAATCCACAAAAAAAAAAAACTACTAATGTGTACGATGCTTCCCAGTCACACACACACACACTCGCACACACACACACTCGCACACACACACACTCGCACACACACACGCAATGATATGCAAATAAATGTCGTCACCCAAAAACGAGGAGCGCAAATAAAATTGTTGGCGCTGAAAAATGTGCAAAAAAGAAGCAGTGAAAATGCGAAAAAAGGTCAAAGGGTGGTGGGAATTTTTTTAGAGGGATCCTCAGCCCGACGCCCAGGTATTCGTGAATACATTCATGAGTGCACTCGAGAGTCAATATTGGCGCAGTTTGGCACCGAGAGTAGTCACAAGTGCTGAGATGGGTTTTATGTGTTATTATAGTACTCAATATTGTTTTCGAAAATTGCCAATTGATTTGTGCAACAAAGAGAGTTGCGCACTATTACCTAATAATAAGTAAAGCTCGTAATATTTGAACATATCATATATTTGAGGCTGTACATATGTGATATTACCGCTGTCAATTATGCTTATTTGCCTAGCAATGCTTTCAATTCGATTTCAAATTTCCACTGACTTTGAGTGTAAATGATGCTATTCAAGTCAGATGCTATTGGGTATCAAACGTTAATGTCTAATTCCAATAGAGTCTAATTAGAATGCCGCTTTGCCGTTAGCGCTGGTATTGCAGGAAAGTGAGTATCGGGTAAATATTCGAGATTGTAGCCTGTTCTTATTACGTTTGGGCTTACGGCAAATAGCACGCAAAGGATATCATCATCATGTTTACCATGCATATTCAATACACAGATAGATTCTAGCCCTAATAGTTTAGGCTAGAAAAAACATCGCTAAAAGCCTTGAACAAAGTTGCGTAACTAGAATCTATCGATCACAGTTGGCCGATTTCTCTCCTTTGGCATCTGTCAAAACAAGTGACTGTTGTTTTGTAAATTCCTTATTCAATTTGTAATTGCGTGCAACTCCCCTTCTCTGTCGGGTCTTCATTGTAATTTCGAACAGAAGAAATTGTTAATCAATCAAAATGATGCAAAGCATGCTTTCGAATCGATACAATAGTAAGCGGAGCACTTTTTATGAACGTTACGAAGGTAAGTTTCCCATAAACTTAGTATCTACTTCAACCGAAATAGTAGTGTCCTGTGAGATTCCGCTCAGCAAAGCATCTCTCAAAAGTTTTTGATACAAGTAGTTGATAGTTCCAGTCTTATCATAGTTATATATTATTCTCAATTTCCTCGCTATACCCTGCATTTGTCTGCAGCTGCTAGGAAGCGTCATCCGAGTCTGCCCGAGTACGAGCGTCCGGTGGAGCCAACCACGTCGAAGCTTTCGAACTTCTCCGTTCACCGCCGCCACCGGTACCGTCAACTGATCCATCAGTCGCGCGAGCAGCTGGAGAACGACTCCTGGCTGTCCAGTAATCGACTGCCCATTGTGGTGCGCCACAACATCGAGCTGCGGAACAACAAACTTTTGATGTCCAGGTACAACGCGGAAACGGCTACCCATGAGTTTAGCCACAATGGCAAGCCGCGACGTGGTCGTCCTCCAACCGCCGCCACTGCGGCTAAACTAGCATCTGAATTCGCGATTCAAGTCGGTGGCATTTCCCAAAACCTGACCGACGAAGATGAAAGCCAGTCCGAGTCGGACGTGGAGTCGAGTGCTGAGATGGCGGACAAGATGGCGGACAAGATAGTGGACAAGGTAGCGGACAAGATGCCGGACAAGATAGCGGACAAGATGGCGGACAAGGTGGCGGACAAGAAGACGGGCAAGGTGGAGGACAAGAAGGCGGAGGACTCCGAGGTCCCGGACCCCATTAACATCACAGTCGAGAGGGTCGATCAAAATCAAGGGGGGCCGCAGCCAAGTTCGATGAGCAATGCCAATCAGGCTTTTACCCCAAACTGGGACTTTTCTTCAACTTTGAGCGCCTTTCCCATCTCTCTTCAGAGCTTTGGCTTTAACTGGGCCGAACACTTCAATGCAATATCAAGCCAATACTACAATCATATCGTGAACTCCGTCCCGTTTCCGGGCCAGGTACAGCCGTTCAATCCAACACCATTTGGCAGGCGTATATTCGGTGTTAACCCATCGATGGTGGGTGGTCACCCACCATTTCGCGTCTATTCGTGCCCCATGGAGAACTGCAAGGAAAACTTTGATTCGCGGTGAGTTTTTCAACTTTCGTATTACTTATATACCTATAAGCATTTGAAAACTGTCGCTCATTCTTCAATCCTTTCAGCCGCGCCATGTACAAGCATCAGCGCGAGACTGGCCACCACACCTGGTCACACAATTGCGGCAAGTGTGGCCAGGTCTTCCGCACAGAAGGCTTCAAGCGCATGCACTCCTCTAATGCCTGTGAGCGCAATCTGAGCAAGTTCAAAATCGCTAAGCCGAATGAACCTAAGCCAAGAACAAAGCCAGAATAAATCTGTCCCACCTATCGCTCTTACTCTGCCGCTCTGTCGTACACAGAAAAAAAAATTTAATTTTACATCGTTTTTTTTTTATTTAAAAAAAATTATATTAGAATTATTCTGTAAATATTAGAACGAGAGAAAAATCTGATAGGAACCTAATCATAAATAAAGAACATAACGGCAAAATCATGGATTTTTGTGCGGTGCACTTTCGTGCGAAATAGTTTGCGAACAAATTAAGCCCACTTTGCAGTGATTTGTGTCGCTAACACAATTATTTGTCAAGCAACAAGGATGAAGGAGCCGCACGGAGGTCTGAATGTCCTGGTTGCTCCTGCGACAAGGACGAGCTGCCATTTGCCAGTCGCGAAGCACGTGAACCCAGTTTCCTCAGTTCCTTTAAAGATGAATGGAACGGGCGGAAATTGTGTGTGCGTCTTCTGCAGGAATTCAAGCTGCTGGCATTCAGCAGGCCAGGTTCGCCATCAGTTTAAAGGATTCGACTATTTAGTTCCTTCCCCAAAGAAAAAAGAAATTTCGAGCATTTCCTTTGCGAAAAATCTGAGACTTTGGTACCTTGAAGCTTAGACTGCTACACAAAGCACGAGCACATACATAAATATGTACAGAAGTAGTAGCAGGATAATATATTGACTGGAAAGGCTTTAAACATGCAGTAATAAATACGAGAGTGCTATTCTGGTGATTAGCTGATAAGTATTAATACAGAGACAGGATATGTTTTGGAACTTAATTTCCAATTTCAGATAATAGATTAAGGATTAAGGATTTCGAGTGACTGGAACACATTGCTGTAAATATCTGATGTATATAGTTTGAGATCACTAACCTGGCTGCAACAGGTGTGATGAGCCACAAGTAACCACCGTTGACGGTGGTCATATTGCTGATGCCTCCCTGCGGATCGGGAGCACCAAGTCGATGTTGCTGCTGCCGCTGGACATGTTGCTGCTGCGGCTGCGTCTGCTGCACCTCTATAGCTGGCTGGTGGCGACTCAGAGATGGCACCAGTCGCTGCAACTGCTGTTGCTGCCGCTGCTGCTGCTGCTGCTGCTGTTGCTGCTGCTGCCGTCGGTTGTTGCTGATGTGGCTGCTCCTGCTGTTGCTGCTGTGAATGCCGATGTTGTTCAACTGCAGATCACTGAAGCTGCCTGCCTGGGAGCTGAATCCCGTGGCCGGAATGCTGCCAGAGATCGTGTTGATCAGGCCAGTTGGCTGACGCTGCTGCTGCTGCTGCTGCTGCTGCTGCTGTTGTGGCGCGAGTCGCTGACCCCGCGGCAATGTTGCATAGGGCGAGTGTTGCTGGTGCTGCTGCTGAGGGTGCAGCAACTGTTGCTGCTGATGCTGCGGCTGCTGCGACGGGTGGCTGTGCTCGATGGATGCACTGGTGGTCAGCTGGTGGATGGCCAGCGGCTGCCTGTCGGTGGTATTGCAGCTAGCATTCGCGGGTCGAACGTTGTTGTAGGGATTCTCGCTGTTGATGCTGTGCGTGGAGGCCACGCGAAACACATTGGGCACCGACGGATAATCCCTCATTTTATATTCCACTAGCTTCACTCAGCCAGAATGGAAACCAAAAAAAAAAAGAAAAAAAACACTAACGAAACTAAAATAAATCCAGCACTTTGAAAGCGCGCCAAATTGAGTTGAATTTTCGAATTGCTGGCAGGCACGTCCGTTGCGCTGGAGCACTTTCACTCGACTAAGGGAAACTGTGGTCCTGGCCACAGGACTCGACTCGGCCATGTAAAACGAACCAAAACGAGTAACTTCGGCTGCTCCGGATGCTGATTTTGCTGCTGCTGCTGCCGCTGCTGCTGCTGCTGCTGCTGCTCACTGGCGATTATAAAACAAAGGAGCCATATTTTATCTCCGCTTTTGATGGGCTCCATCCAACGGCAATCCACGCCTGATGCCATCACCAATCCTGAGATATATGCTTATCCTTGATAGACCTAAATATAGCGGCTATGACCAATGGAAAATTAACTTCTACGTTTGCACAGCTAGAAAATGCCAGCTATCAGGAGTTTTAGCTGTGGCCTGTGGAGCTCCTATCAATTATTCTGAATGCGAACATTACACACATTATAAGGCCCACATGCATGCACTGAAATAAAGACTCGATTTCCTATGATTAGGATTATAGGTTGAAACAAGAAATAACAATTAGGTTCTATACAGCCGTGTGTAGGTGTTGTGTTTCGTTACTACTTACAAATTCTGAATAGAAACTCATTAGGTTCAAAAGTTCCCGAGTTCTCGATGTTCATATTAGACTAATGGTTATTTATTTATTATAAAGTTGTACACAAGAGTCACAAACTTAGGCAACAGAAAGATAAGCCGGAATATTTCAATATTTATTTAAGTAAATAGTTACATGTGACTTACAATTATTTACAATATATTTACAGAGATGATCAATTACGTGTTTACCGATATGAGTTAAGTATACAATGAAGATGTGTTTACAGGAGATGAATTAGGATGGCTTTTTAAGACATTTAAAGTTAAATTCAATGTTGTTTTTAAGTGATCTGTAGGGCTTGAATTCAATGTGCCCGAAGGGCGATGCAGATTTTTAGGATGCGAGGAATGGAAACGTATGAGCATTGCAGAATCGGCATTGGTTGTTGGTTTGCTGGGAGAATCGATGCTCATGGGTCAATCTGCGTCAATTTTTGTGAGATCTCTTCAAGGTATATCATAGGACTAGTGATATATAAGCTTTATAAGCCATAGAACTATTATTTTACCTGTTTTTACCTTAATCTAGTATATTTTGTCACGGGTGTGCAAGCTTCTGATTTATGGATTCTAAAACAAATCCTCAGTTATTGTTAAGGGCAAAATAAAAAATCCCCCAAATGAAGTCTGCTCAAATGAAGCCCAATTCATTGCAGCTCATTTCTCGCTGTGTAGTCCAACAACAAGCAAGCAGTAGTAATAACAACAACCAGCAGACGTTTGCAACTTCCGTTGTAAGCTAAAAGTGACTTCCGGTCGCTGGGGATCCCCACTATCTGTCTGTGTGCGTGCCTGTCTGTATTTGTGTGTGTTTCTGTGTGCGGATATGGGATATAGCTATTCGAGTTGTTGCTGCACTCGCCTGCAAATCTAAGCATTTATTGCAGCCCGGCTCCTTTGGCTGCAACTCTCGTTTATTTAATTGAATTCCCACATGCGATTGAGGTAAGTTCGTGCCATGATTGCGCCACATTAAAAGGGTAGGGCCAACAATGGCCCCCCACTGCCACCCACCGCCCCCCAAAAATATCCCGCCCACAGCCACACTCGCTCTTGGTCTAAAGCACCTTGTTAAGTGCAGCTTGTGAAAGTGTGGAATTGCTGAGTACAGGCCCAGGAGTGGAGCAGAACAAAAGCCGAAGATTAAACTGCAAAATCCACACTGGAAAAAAGGCTAATCTCTTTCAGTTGTGCCTAGCAACCATCGTTGAGTACTTGCACTAGTAATATTACTCTAAATTCGCTGCAATGGAAACCGCATATCCCATCCTATCATATGTATGTTTTCCAAATACGAGTTTCAGGGCTTCACTGAGCGAAACCAAATCCTTTGCGGCTCTATCTTCGGTATTCCAACGTTTCAGCATCTGCAATATGATATGGAAAGGGTATTACATCAAAAGCGGATTGGACTGCAGTGAAAAGTATGGGGCATATGGGGCAAGTAAGTCGGCAAGCGGAAAACAAAAGCAGCTGATTATTGGCAGAGTGATTAAACTAATCAAAAAGCGCAAAGCCAAGAACAAAGGCATGTAAGCCAACTGGCAGGTGGCGTCTGATGTGATGGAAAACCTGTAATTAAATATAATAGCTTTGGCCGTACGTAAATAGCCTCAAGTATTTGCACACCATTCTGTGTGGCAAGCAAACAAATTAATTAAAATCTTAATTAAATCTCATTCGCGCTGCAAACAAGGATGTGCTATTTTAGTGCCAACAAGTTGCCTTTAATTTGCCATAGAACTAAGCCCTCGACCCTCTCTATTTCAGCGTTTAAATACATAGAGCAGAGTTTACAACTTTCGCAAAAGTTTTCATCTAAATGCGCTGCAATGCTGGCAACACTTTTCTCGTGTTCTTTTTTTTCCCCTATTTTTTATTTTTTTTTTAGAACAAGAGAGGACCAACAAAATGTTCGCATTTTTGTTTGTGTTGTGCCTTTTGGCAGTTTGCTTTGGCTTTTCTCTCATTTATTTATTTTTTTGTATTAATTTGTTGTTATTTTGTTGCTGTTGCAACTGTCAAATGTTTGCCAATGCACACAGACACACCCGCGTCCACGTTGCTAGTGCTGCCCGGCGATATGCAAATGTGCGCGTGTGTGTGTGTGGATTTCAGGGAGTGGCAGTGTGTGCGTGGGTGGCTAATTTAATTCATTTGTATGCGTACATATTGCTGTTGACTTCCTTAATTTTTCCTGCATTTTTATACAATTTTCCCATGTCAAGAGCAAACGAAAACTGCTCGAGAAGCACTGAGATTTCCTTAAATAAACTGGGCTGCAAAAATAATGTGAGTAACTTAGAGACAATTCAAATTAGTACACACTTCCGTTGCACTTCAAAAACAGCTTATGATGCCTGAAATAGATTACAAAATATGTAGCTCTTAAAATATATTACAAATCCTTTTCAAAAAAAATGCTTGTGCTGTTGGTAAATATTAAGAAAATCTAAAATATGATATGCAGTTGGAAAAAATCGAGTGATCTATCTTCCTAGCGATTCAAATGATGCAGATGCACAATTGCTTCATTTAATATTTAATTTCTATTGATAAAGAGTATCTGTAGCTCTAACAAAAGTGTGCAAGTATTTTTAATGTCGCAGCTGATGTGGCTGGTGTTGCTGTTGTGGCAGCCTCGTGTTGCCAGTTGCCAGTTGCAAGCAAGGCGGCTCGTTTACTTGCCACCCCCCTGCGGTCGCCTTTGGTCATCCGACCAGAGAGACTGGCTTGCGAAAGTAGTCCTCCAAATCCTATTTGGCCAACAGCAGGAGCATCTGGACAAGGCCAAGGCGAAACTTTGGCCACCACAGCATTTACTTTCGCAACAAGAGGCAGAGGCTGAGGCTCAAAGTTGTCCACTCCGACGCCGTGTCAGCTTGAATTTGGCGCGGTCCTAGTGCTGTGCCTGCTCCAGCACCGTTTCCGAAATATTGATTAAATGCACAGGACCCACAGAGGCGGATATCCAGCACAGTGACACACATCGACCGCAGGGACAGATTTGCTGCTCTTGTGCTGACTGATTAGCGCCTTTGCCGAGTTGCTGTTGTCGCTGCTGGCTGGTGGCTGCTGCTGGTGGCTGCTGCTGGTGGCTGCTGGCTGGTGATGTTGCTGTGAAAATTGATGAGCAATTAAGGTTATTGACCAGTCGCTCGGCGAAGGGTTGCTGGCTTCCAGGGACTTCCAGGGGCTTCCAGGGAAAGGGGGGCGACGCTTCGCTGCCTCGCCGACTGACCCAATCACACACACACATACGAGTGCATGTAGGATGTGGCTGTACACTGAGAACAATGCACTGATAGGAGCCCAGGCAACTGGAGTGGAAGTAATGAAGGCGTAAGTATTTGAGAAATTTCTCTTTTAAGCCCAAGTCAGTTAGCTTAAGTTTAAGTGCTCTTTTGCTGTTACCAGTAATTGGAAAAATCCCACATCCCACAACGAGTTTCGCTCAGTGGAGACACAGTCGCAAAGCCATCGAAGCGACAACAATGCCGGCAGCCAGCCGAGGAGCAGCCATAACCAGCTCATCCTGCGCCGGATGGGAAGCGTCAAACGGAAGCAATTGACTGGGTGACAGGTCCTCCAACCCGTGCCCCCGTGGCACCCGCACCGCGCCCCCTGTCCCTGAAAGGACTAGCAACACCCTGATTAACATTAACTGATTTAAGGTGAACGACTAACCTAAATCGGCGGCAACTCCGTTGGCAACAGAGCCGCAACTTTAGGCGCAAGTGGAGCGGAAGGAGGATGTGGCCAACAAACGAAATGAGCAAAGGACCTGCAATTAATTTTGCACATGCACTTGCCACGCCCACAGCCATCCGCACCAACCATCACCAGTGCTTCATCCGCATCCGCACTTCAAGCCTGGTCCGTAAATTAAGTCAACAAAATTGAGCATTTAATTGTCGGCGCACAATCCAATAAAATGGTAGCTGCGGCCGCCCTTTATTTGATTTGCCTTTGGGCGAAAATATGAAAAAATCAAACTTGTTTGCAAATGATAACAGTATTTCCCATTAAATAAGGCCACGACACGTGTGTACAGTACAGCGTGATTGTGAGCCTGAAATGCATTTCCATGTTTATTTGACACGCTGAAAAGCGTTAATATGCCGATGGCGGACATTCAGTTTCGTGCAGGGAAGTCGTACTGTACCTGCGTACTGTACGTACTGTACACGTGACCAGGCGACGAGTTAAAAATAAAGCAAGGACCTGCTAAAAGGGATTAAGTCCACCTGTTTGCGGTCCAAAGACACACACACACACACGCACAC